GAAAGCGTGTATCCTTTCAGTCCCCTCTCTCTCTCTCTGTACCGTGAAAAAATGTGTATCCTTTCGATTTTAGGTTAATACCACGAAAAACTCTAAATTAATATATCTATTATAAATTTACCAAAAATTAATTTTTTTGACAACAAAAAATCCTAAATTAGTACACCTGTAATAATTTTACCAAAAGCTAATTTTTTTACCATTAAAAACCCCAAACTGGGACATTTGTATTTAATTTATCCTTCGTTAAATTGGATTAATACCACGAAAAATCACAAACCGATACACCTGTAACAAACGGAGGGTAAAATCCCAAACTAGTACTGGCACATGTCATCCAACTCAGGTAAAATTGTCACAGATGTATCAGTTTAGGGTTTTCAGTGGTCAAAAAATTAGTTTAGGGTAAATTTGTCACAAGTGTACCAGTTTGGGGTTTTTCATGGTATCAACCCTTCAATCTTTTATTACTTTTCTTCAATTCTTGCTCCAATAACGCTCTACTTTCCAATTGTTTCTTGACCTAGAATTCAATTTTTCCTTCTTTGAATATTTGCCGACAACTCTTTCCATTCCTTAGCCTATTAATTCCCAGATTGACCAAACAATTAACCTCCCTAGCTTAGAGCACCTCCATGCGCATAGCACATGGGGCATTTCAGCTACACAAACAGATTCAACGGGCTAGGTCGAATTCCTCAATCTCACGTGCTTAGTCCACAAAATTTAATTAAGCTCAGAGTCATTTTTTTAATTCCATCCGCCGCTGGTCCCATGTGCAAATTATGGATTTAATTAATGCATGAGAAAAATGCATATAATACGCAAATGCAATCACTAATTTTTTTTATGTGTTAGGGATCATGGTCGATTCCTAAATTTTTTTGCAATAAATGCCTAAATTAATCATCAAAATTTAGATATCAACAAATTACAATTAAGCCATGCCTGTCGTCAATCCAAGATAGAACCAATCCTAGCCATTCATTAATCTCTTAATCCTAGCCATTTAAAATTTCTTGCCACCTATCCTAGGCATCAAATTTCAGCCAATAAAGGTTTATCTTAGCCATTAAGGCTGCGTTTGGTCGACCGGATAAAAGCCAGGATAGGATATGGTTTATCATATCTTGTGTTTGGTGGTGGTCCAGGATAGGATAAGGTTGGATATAAACCGGATAAAAAAATCCGGGAGGGGGGGTGGGATAGACCCGCATAGGATTTCTAATGCTAATTTTTCCAGAAACCCTACGCTCCACTCGCCGTCATCTTCATCCCCACACCTTGTGCGCTTTCACCAAAAAAATTTCTCGGCTTTTTTTCCTTCACTGACTCCTCCGGACTCGTGAATAGCACAAAAAAAAATTATCCTATCCAACTTTAAATCCGTAGTCCACCAAACAGTGGACATGATACGAAGAAATCCTAGGATTTCTTATCCTATCCTATCCAGTTCTATCCTGTTTAGAAATCCGGACGACCAAACGCAGCCTAAGGGATAAATGTGAGCTCTTGATTAATAAAGTAAATGACCTCCGCCCTCACTTTGAAAGTGTCCCTCCAAAACTCCTTACAAACCTCTCTTTCCCTGATTATTCGGCCAGAGGACTCTCTCTACTCTCTCTCTAAAAAATTTTCTCTCTCTCTGTCTACCCAAGTTCCATGTCGTCCTCCTCTCTGGCCAGATTCAGCCGTCTATCGACCATTTCCCGATGTCCGATTGTTGGCATTCCTTTGCAGCTAGCTAGGCCAACACTTCCTTCGCCTAGTCGTGGTGGTCGTCGGTTTGATTCCTGCTGGACGCCATCTATTCCGGTTGATTTCTTTAGTTACTCGCCAATTTCGATAAGCCAAGGTAGGAGCTCTCACTCTTTGGTGATCAATTTCTCATGATCATCCAATGAGGCGACAATGAACATAGTTTAAAATTGAAGAAAATTCTTCAATCTATGTTCACTTCTAAGCTAGGATGTGAAGAAATTAGAAATATGAATGAAAACTAGGTTAGAATTTAGAGTTGTTCAATGAAATTGTGAATTGATCGCACGTTAGACAACTTTGGGATTTATACCCCCATTCGGCCGAACCTAGGCATTATTTGAAGTTGATTTTGATGCTTACATGCTAATTGAAGCTAGGCTTAGCATGTATAGTCTAAGAACCTTAGAAATCCAGCTTAGTGAAGTTTGATTGTTTGATTTTCATGATGATTTGCACTTAGAATTCCATTCGGCCGAGCTTTGTAGGAAGAGGATTGATGTTCATTTTGATGGCAATTAGCTCTAGGATTGTTACATGTTAGATGTAAATTGTTTAGGAGTGATTTGATAAAGATTTGTGCTTGATTTCATATTAGATGAATGAATTAGGCTTTGGTGGATGTTGAAGGATTGAAGATGTTCATGAATGTTCATATGAACATGTTGAAAATACTCTGACACTTCTGGAAAATAGTTGAATATGCTACAAGATAGCCTAAATATGCTTGAATATGCTTGAATGAGCTTCAATATGAGTTTGAAGAAGCAAATGATTTTCTGGAAAACTCAAGTCTCATTGACCTCTAGGTGTTCATCGATTTTTTTTTAAAATTTGTGCTCAGAATCTGGAAAAATGTTCCTCATGAAAGTTATAGCCAAGATCATCAGCTTTCCATTGATACCAAATTCATAAAAAACAAAGCTTATTTGGTCAATCATACGTCTGATGAAAGTACAAATCAAATTCGGTGCTTTGATCCGGAAAAACTATTTCTGCGTCTACCAAGTTTGTTTTTTGCAATTTTGGGACATTTATTTTGGGCAAGCTGTCCGTAAAATTTGGCTCACAATTGGGGAACATTAAACTAAACTTCTCAGGCTTTCATCTACCGCTAGAATCATTCAAATTCGACTTCATAGGTTAGTCAATTGAATTAAAACATAATTGGGCACGACAGGGCAAAAACATAGAAGTGCCCTTCCTTGGTCACTAATTATTTCTTGATTCTCAAGGCTAATTAGCCTAATTACATAAATTAGTCAACCTTGCATGTGAACGATAGATGTATGTTAGGCCCGATTTCGATTATCAATGCATGATTATTAATTAGGAGCTAATGGTTTTAGCCTATTTCTTTGTGAAATGCAAGTGGAGGTTAATAATCATTTAGCGTTAATCAATTAATCCTTAGTTTGATTCGATGGTGGTTGGGTAAATTGAGTTGCATGAGCACAAATCAAAATCCATGAGCCGAATTTGTGATCCCTGACTATTGATGATGAGCTTGTTAATTGATTGTTTTGAATGAGTGCATGATACGTGAAGAGTTGAATGTTGAATGAAACCAGTTGACGGAGCCGAGTGTCCCGAGGAGACGGCCAAGAAGACCGGTGGTCAAAAGCTAAGGTGGCGGTCTGAGAAGCTTAATTAGCCTAGCTTAGTTTCGAATAGGCTAGTTTAATGGATTAGCTTAGGTTTTAATAAACAAGTTGGCTTAGGTTCCCGTAAAAATCAAATTAGACTAACAACCACCTTTTAATAAATAGGCTAGTCTAGTTTAGTGCTATCTTTGAATAAAATGAATAGATTTAGACTCACTTTGGATAGGACTAGTCTCTAATTTCAAGCTTATAGAAGTTCATGTCCCAAGGTTCGTAACGAGGCCTATACTTGGAGCTTTCAATACTGGAGTGTTTAGATATCACACATTCAATAAATTGTTTGTTATTTCCCTTTCAAGAATGGTTAAGACTAGTTTAGGTTCATAATAAACCCCTCAAGAACAATGTTTGAACACTTAGAGACTTCAATACCTTTAGGTTCATAATTGGAAAGCGAGAATGGATGAAGACTTAGATGAACAACATTTAAGTTAGTGGTATGGAAAGGGTGCCAATAGACCGTTAGTGTAATCAAGTCCCCGAACTAAAATCTTTGGCTACATAGAAAACGAGACAATACTGCCGTGTTTCATTTGGTTTCTAGCCGACCCCAAAAGGCTAGTGGTAACTCCTAAAACTCCTTAGGTGGAAAAGAACTTTAAAAAAATCCAACATCGAGTGAGTTTTGAGCTTGGGGGAGCCCATGCCTAATCGAGGGCGGTTGGCCCCCCATTGGGCGATACACCTAAATCGTTCCCAACTTTGGGAGGGTCATGACACTAATATTATGGAGATTTGACTAAATTCTGACTTATGATAGCTCTCCCCTTTCAAACCTAATTGACATAACTTCGAAAAACCATAAATTCCATTTTGAAAGATTGAGAAACTTCTAGAGCCCACTATGGTGTTCAAACGAATTTCCAAATCAGTGAGTGAGATCTCAGGTCACATTCAGTTTTGGGTAGAAAATTCAACTAGTGTACCTATAATCACATTATTCGTGGGTAGCAACGACTCCAATTTGCCAATAAGACCTTAGCGGCAACATCTTAAATAATAGCTGCTATACATAGTTTGTTTTAGTAAGTCAATTATAATTTTTATATACACAATAGATGACATATATATCGGCATGCCTATTGTATTATTAAAGTTTATTCTTACTAATCCTAACCGGTATTAATTGTGATCTCAATCTCAACAAAGGAAAAGAAAATGTGAAATGTTAATTGTAAACAGGAGTTGATAAAATGAAAAATAGAGAGTTTTGCTTATCAAATTGTTTGAGGTACGCATTTTTCTATAACGTTTATCCGTTGAAACAACTTGCCAGGTCACTCAAATGAATTCATTTAGCTCATTCGTTATCGTTTAGCAAGTCATCTTCCAGGCATAGATTCTGAATTTATATATCGGCTCGATCGTTTTGGTCGAAGGAGCTGGTAGGGATTTACCATATTTGGAAATTCCAAAGAATTCTGGTAACCATTGAGGTTGCGCGCGATTGCCACCCCAATCACGAGAGAAAGGAAACAAAAATGAACATCACTAATTACAAAAACAAAAGGGTGTAAAATAGAAAATTGATAGCTTTATTATTTGAATTGCTCAAGATAGCTTCTTCATGTAAATTTTCTATACCCTACAGTAACCTCCTGGACCTCCGATGCTAATCATGTAGCCACTTCGATATTTTCCGAAGTGGTGATGGTTCATCAAACCATAAACATTGGATCTATCCACCCACTCCGTGGTCTTATCTGAAGGAGGTAGGAATTTGCCATCCGATCGAACCCAATGGAGTGCTCGAAAGACAGTGGCATGCTCGTAAACACCATCTGGCATGTGACCACTTCCCATCGGTGGACAGAATCCATTGCTTCCAGCTATGCCAATTCCTCCCCAAGCTATGTGTAGTGAGCCATTGCGCAAATACGGGAATAGTTCCTTTGGCCAGTAGCCCACTTTGTGATCGCTCACAATCAACCACCAATTCCCAATATTTCTATCCTGATTAGAAATAAATTTTGATAATAAGTGTAATAATGTAAAAAATGCAGAAATTATTAAAACTAGTTTATTTCAATAAACGTTGTGATATCACACCATGATTGGTATTACTGACAATGATAATCATTTAACATGGATGCAATGATTGATTGTATGCTTATATGGATAACTTTCAGTAGGGTAGAATGATAGCCAAAGTTGACAATTTTGAGGACAAAACTATTAGGCTGCGCATGGCAACCATTCTGTGCTCGGGAACAGATTCTGCTTAGAAATGATTTTTTTTTTATTTCGTGTCCGGGAACAATTTCTAAGCATTTGAAGGCGTTTGGTAACTACCCAAAATTTTTATTCTTAGAATAGAAAAAGAATAGAAATGCAATTAGTAACTACACAAAATTTATTTTTATTAATAATATTTTAATAATAATTTGAATTTTTTAATATTTTTTTCCTTTTTTTCCTTTTTTTTTCTTTTTTTCCTTCCCTTCCTTGGTCATGGCAGGTTGCCGGCATAGGCCAAGGCCGGCGAGGGCGTCGCGGCCCTCGCCACCGACCTTGTTGGTCGCAACGGTGAGGCCAACCTCGCCATCGCCACCTAGGTCCCTCGCCTGGGTGGCGACGGCGAGGTCGAGCCTCGCCTAGACGGTGAGGTCGGCCTCGCCATGGCTGGGCGAGGCCTCGCCGTCGCGGCCGCGAGCCGCGCTCACTCAAGCGGCAAGGGCCGCGACGCCCTCGCCGGCCCTAGCCTGTGGCCAGTGGCGGCGGCCGGCTGGAGGCAGGCGGTAGCAAGTGGCGGCAGGCCGGGAGGAAGAAGAACAACAAACCAAGAAAAAAGAAGAAAATCAAGAAGAATCAGAAATGAAAAAATTGTTCCAGAATCAAAAAGCTACTTTTTTTTGCTTCTTGATTCTGTTCCAAAACTAATTCTTGAAACAATTTTCTACAAAATTGTGCCCGTGCACAAAAAAAATAACATACGGATTTATGTTCCCAAACTGATTTTGGGAACAAAAGAACAGAAATTTTTACTATTTGACAAATTGTCAAACGGGCCCTTAGTCTCTAAAATATTTCAGCAAACATCATTATCTTAAGAACTTTGAAAAGATCAAACATACCTGTTCGATATGGATTAGAAGCTCATATTGAGCTCCACCATAAGTAGAAGTAGGTTCTGCTGGATAACCAGGGGTAATTTCCCTGTGCACCTGGATAAAACCCAGACATAGTACATTGTAGCATCCATTGCGGTAGCCATCTCCTTATGAGGACAATGCTTTGGCGAATAAGATTCAAATTATCTCCAACTTCTTGTTTGGATACCCGAAAATCAGTGAAAAAATGGTTCAATTAAGAATTGACAATTATCTTCACAGCTCACCTGTCCAATATGTGAACATCCTAGTACGAGCATCCCCAAATAACCGTGGAGAAACCTTGGAAAAAAAGAGATTTTTCTCTCATATCATTCTACAGTTTATTGAACTTCTTGTGTAAAAAAAAATATGACATTGACTTTCTTAAGAAAACACTTACCATCCAACCAACTACAATCATGCTGATATGCTCTGGGGGACCAGTTTCAATCCACACATTATGGGCACTGAGTTGGTCATGAGTAACATTAAGTTTGTAAACCGTCGTACCTCCACCTCCTCCATATTTAATATTTTCTATCATGTTGTCCGTTAGAGACCTGCAAATGATAATTTATAACTTAGACTACTAAAAAGTGAAAGAAAACTAAATAATCTCTTATTCACCTATGCCTACCGGTCATACTTTAAAAAATGTATTGATTTTCTTTTTGCACATAAATGATGGAAAGAACATATTTTGAGATTTTCATAAGTGAATATTTCACATGTGGTCTCATGAAATTCATATGCACATGACCTCATTAATAGATTTGAAAAAAAAATCATTGATGATATTTTATGTGAGTAAATATGCAAGTGAGCATGAGAGAGAGGAATAGTACATGTTGATTTGAAGAAACAATACTTTGTCTCATAGCCATGACGGATGGTATCTTGGGCAAGGATCTTGCCCTCATCAAATCTTCTCTTGTTACTCGACGAATGGGTATTGTTCCAATGGGGCAAGATTCTCTCAACCCAAATCTTACCGATTTTGCTTTCGAAGAAGTTCTGCGCAAGCTAGTGACATTTATATTCAGCTCTGTCTACAAGGAGAAAAAACTGATTATAGAAGTATCAATTTAGTAAAAAAAAAAAGTAGACCATTTCACCCAAATTATCCGATATTGGTCCACATATTTATTGGTTGATTTAGGAGAAAATGGCAAATTTTTACCTGAACTTTATGATTCTTCAGTAGAGGATGATTGAGTGCCGGTTGTTTGTTTATATCAACACAGTCAATTGTGTCTCCTTCTTTAGTCTTGATAAAATCAAACACAGTTAGTCATTCGTCGAGCAGCAATCGTATTTCAAAGATTAACAGGATAAATTGCAATATCTCCATGAAATTTATACGAGACTATCGCAAAAAAGGCTTTGAAGGAAAATTACCGAAAAGGTCTTGATGGATGGCTTTTTCATAGTTCTGACCTGTCTTTCCAAGTCTAACTCATCCTCTTCAGAAACATCTGCTATCTCACACAGAGAAAGACTGAAGAATAGGAGCAGCAACGGCACAAGTTCCACATACAGTTTCATGGTGACAAAAAGAAGCGTAAAGTGGCCCTCTAACGGATAGCTACACTTGTTTATATATTGCGAAAGTTTCACCCTTTTTTTGTCGATAATATACCACTGAGTGTGTTATCAAAAGTTTGAGCAATGCAATTAGGTTCGAAAGATGGTAAAAGATAAATGTAGGAGAGACTGAAAATTGTCTTTGAATAATGCTATCCTAAAAAAATGCATGTTTGCCACTTGTCTCATTCTTTCATGGTCATATCATGCATAATTATTGCCATAGCCTACGTTATTCTTGACGACCAAATGTACATATAAACTTCAAAAAGACAAATTTATTCATTAAAGAGAAGGCAGTTCAGGTATGACTAGAAATTGGAGCCTCGGGATGCTAAAGCTTTTCCGTAAAACAATGCATGGTTGCCATTTTAAAAAGTATACATGTTAGCCATTTGTCTGTAAACATCTTCCACCTTCACCACATGCATAACTAGTTTTGAGGCCAATCTATTGTCTAAGACTAAAGTGTTATGTAATATATGGTACAAATTCAAAATGCATATGAAATTAAAGGAAAAAAATAGAGAAACTAAAATTGAAAGAAGAAAGCAAAGAAAAGTTATATATGACACAAGGCACTTCAAGGTAGGGATGGATCCAAAAGAAACTTCTTGGAGCAGCTGGGTTGCCCGACAAAGAAAATGTTTTTAAAGATTTCATCTATTTCAAAAAGTGAATTGAAATTCCTTTGAAATAACAAATTATTTAACTTAAAAAGAAAAATAAAAATATTAGATTAAGTTTGGAAAGTGTTGAAAATTTAGGGAATCATGAATGTTGGAGATTCAGTTTTCGTTTGAATTACAATTTTGTCCCTTTTGTTAATGTTATGCCATTATAATGTCACCATACGCTTTTGATGGAACTACTTGAGAAAAGTTCTTTGAGTTTGTTTTATTATATATTAGCAAATGGGCACATACACAGCGTGTGTTCAAGAATCTAACATTTGAAAGATGGGAAAAGACAAATGTTTTCACTCCAAACTGGGCAAAAGATTTGAGAGACTGAAAAATTGTCTTTGAATAATGCATGCTTGCCACTATCCTTAAAAAAATGGATGATTGCCACTTGTCTCATTCTTGCATGGTGATATCATGCATAATTATTGCCAAAGCCAATGCTTTTCTCGACGAATGAATATACAAATAAACTTCAAATTGACAAATTTATTCATATTAAAGAGAAATGCAATTGAGGTATTACCGGAAATTAGAGCATCGAGATGGTAAAGCTTTTGCATAAAATAATGCATTTTCGTCATTTTAAAACGGGCACATGCTAGCCATTTGTTTGCAAACTCCTTCCACTTTCACCCATGCATAATTAGTTTGACGTCTATCTATTGTCCAAGACTAAAGTGTTACCTAATAAATGTTACAAATTTAAAATACAAATGAAATTAGACAAAAAAAAATAGAGAAACTGAAATTGAAAGAAGATAGTAGAAGAAAAGTCATGTGATTATTGACAAATGATTTTGGCTGACAAGTCATTAACGGTAAAAACTCAAGATTAGGATTTTTAATCGTGACATGACCTGTTTCTTAGTAAAAAGAGTTGTTTTAGTGTTTTTTGAATTTATTTCAGATTGCATTGCTTTCTACGTAAACCAAGACATTGATTTTACGAATAATGCAAAGAAGTCGTTAGAGTTGACTTTTGGTCAACCACTGAAGCAAAACCATCAATCAACATTTTTCAAAAATTTGAAAAAATCTAAAATTATCAAATCACTTCCTTTTATTATTAATTGAACTTCTAATTCGTTAATTTGACAAAAATCAATCAAGAATCGACTTTACAGCCAAATTGAGACTTTTGACTTTTGATCGACAAAATTCAAAATTCATTGATTTCAAGTCATTTTTTACGATTTGTTACTTCACGACATTTGATCCTGGGGTCAAAATGCACTTTATTTTTAAGCCAATTTTTTAAAAAATCAAGCTTAAGACGGGCTAGCCAATTTTCGACTGCTAATCAAGAGTCCCGATAAGTTCTTTATGAGTAATGTCAATTACCCAATTTGAATCCGATTAAGTCCAATTAACTCAATTCCAATGTCAATTTTGACAAAATCATAGCAATCTAGCTTAATTTGACCAAAATAGTGGACAACGATCTATGAATTTAGGCTTTCGACCAAAAAAAGAAAGATCTGTAAATTCAGGATGGGTCGACCCAATTTATCCAATTTAGTTTGACCCATGTTGGGTTGGAGCCCAATTTGATCAATTGAACATCAATTGTGCATGATAGCCTAATCCATAAAACAATTTGAGGGGAACTTAGGTAATTGGAATACCACGAGTTGATTCGATCGAATTGTGCCAACATGGTTTGGACCGAGCGACCTAATTGGATCGAATTGAACCCAACCCATTGGACCAACTCTTGGTCGAGCCCACATAGTGAAAATAACAATTCCAATTAGAAAAATTAAAGCGAAATTGAGCAATTGGAGAACCACGAGCCAACCCGGGTGAGATCGACCGTCCACATCGAACTACCCAGCCATGCGACCAGCCTAACCGGCCAACCCTCTCTCTACTCACACTGAATAAATTACAAAAATGCCATTTAGAAATATTGCCAAAATGCCCTTGCCATGTCACATATCCTTTGAAGTTCAAATCTCAACCGTTTATTGATCAATTTATCTTAGCCATCCATTATGACACATCATCAATCCATGTGAATAATTTGCAGCCAATAGGGAGCTTGATTAATCATTAAGGGTTTCTCTCTCTCGCAGGGAAATGTCTCGCTCACCGACCGGTTTCCTGCAAGTTTCGGCGAGCCGCCGGTCTTCCTCCGCTAGTCTAGCCGTGCGACCAAATTCCCCGGCAAGTCCTTGGTATGCTCATGGTCGGCACTACTCCAGATCCTCACCGAAAGCCCCTCAATTGGCCTATCATTTTCATTTTCTCGTCAGCATCCATTCTATCAAAGTAGGATCCTTTTTATTGATTGATCATTCTTTGTGATCGTCCGAGAATGTGGTCATTGAATGATGGTTTAAAAATCGAAGTTTGACCTCGATCTATAATCAATGTGAGATGTGATAGAATTTTTTGAAATCGAACTGAAATTTAGCTTTAGAACTAGTACAATCTAGTAAAATCAAAGTGAAATTTCATTTTAACGAGGTTTTAGGACTTGATTCTCATCTTAGCCGAACATGTATAGGCATTCTTTCATGTTATTTTTATCAATTACATATCGTTTTAACTAGAGTTTGCACGTTTAGGATGATTCATTCCTAGAATTGGATCAAGTGATAGTTAATTCTTTGTTTTGTATGTTGATGTTCTACTTGCATGTACTCGGCCGAAACATCTAGTGTAATAATCAAGCATGTTTCAATGTTGATTACTCCTAGGTTGATAATTTGTTGAATACATGTCGATTTGAGATAGTTTTATGTTAATCCGATAATGTTTGTGCATGCTTAGACGAATGTTTTAGGTAGGGATGTGCAAAGGAACCAGGAACCGCTCAGACCGCCTGGAACCGAACCGAACTGACCCAGAATTGGTGGTTCCCAAGGGAAACTGTCCGGTTCCCAGTTCCAAGTGCGGAACCGCCCACCCATCCACTTAGACCGGACTCGTAATATATATTATATTTATTTAATTTTTAATTTTTTTTAAAAATGAAATATTCTAAATCGCTAATGTGAAACTCACTAATCTTATCTGGCAATATAAAGACCTTTTGTCATGTAATGACTCTGGCTCGATGAGGCCATGGCTCTACAACTGTTGACTAACGGCCGTTCAACGCATATAGGCTACTAACTAGTTTTTATGTTGGATCACTGTCTGTTTTTGTCCATTCATAACAAGTTCAGTGAGTATGCTCTCTTACTTACACACTTCCTAACATTCATTTTGTTGATTCATTGGCTTTGGCTGAAAGTGTCTTTGATGAGGTGTAATTTTAATTAATCCAGAATCATTTATTTCCGTTGTGTAATTCTTTGTTGCATATTACAGTGCCGACACGTGAAACTTGGTGGGACTGGTTCCATGGACCCACCCGCGAATCAAATCGGACTGGCGGTCCGGTCCCCGGGTGGTTCCCGGTTCCGATTTTTCGAAACCAGTCCTTAGCGGGCGGTTCCCGGTTCTAGAGTGGGAACCGCCCACCCGAACCATGCCACCCCTAATTCTAGGTGATTGATAATGAACAAGGATGAATGTTAATGTTGACGAATATGGCTGGAATGTCCGTCAATATGGCTGGAATGTGTTCATTAATGCTGGAAATATGCATGAGAATGTATGGGAGTGCATGTGTGCAAGTTTGATAATGCAGTTTTTTTTTTGGTCGAATGATGATGCAATTAGGTAGCTGGAATTTTGAAGTCATTCTGACCTCTCGGTGTTCTCCAATTTTTAATAATTTTTGGGGTCAAAATTTGAAAAGACTTGCGAAACTTCGCTAGAAGTTGAGATCAAGAGCTTTGCAACGGTATGAATTTTGTAAAAATTGGACCTCGTTTGATCCAAAAAAGATCATCCGCAAAGTAGCGAAGGCGTTTTGCGTTAAATCTAGAAAACAATTTTCAAATTCCTCAGAACTTCTATTGCAAAAATAAAATAGTTAGAGGTCTTTTGTGCAAAACTTCAAAAAAAAAAAAAAGGTTGTTCCTTAGGGTCAAAAATGTAAACCTGAAAAGTTTGAGGTCATTCTAGCAAAGTTTAAGGGGTCAAAAGTGCAATAAACCAAACAAAGTATGACTGGCCCATAAAACTGTTTGCAGTTGAGTCCGAAGGAAAAATTGGCTAATTTGACATAATTGAAGGGCTTATTTGCAAAAACTCAAAGCATGAAAGTTGTATAGAACACATAGAGATAACTATCTATCAAATTTGGTGGTATTTTGAATTTATTTTATATTTTTCCCGTATATTTAAATTCTGCATCGGATCAGGGTCCAGGTCTCGAGCAGTTGGGTTTGTTGGTTAATTCTATACCAATTGAGCCCGAAATGGTCTAAATAAGAAATGAACTAGACATCCTAAGTTTTCCATAGCCCCTTGAATCACTTCATTTAGACACCATTTAGTGGCTCAATTGATTAAAACATAAGTGATTAGAATTGGTCCAAAAGTTGAACAAGTGATCCTTATGGCCACTAATTGATTGATTGCTTCCCATGGCTAATTGGCCTGATTGCATGTCTAATCAAGTCTTGCATGTGATTGTTAGATATATGGTAGGCTCTATTGCATGATTCGATAGGTAGATTAGAATTGGGAGATTAGAATTTTAATTAGGCGCTTGATGATTTAGCCACCATGTGATGAGTTTCACTGGGGTTATTGTTCATGTAGTGATAATTAATTAACCCTTAACTTGACTAGAGGTGGTTGGGATTAATTGAATGCATGGGCGATCTAATTCCTGAGCTCAACTTCGAATTACCTAATTATTTGTCAATTAGTGAGCTTCACTAATTGCTTGCTTTGCTTGAGTGTATGTTGCGAATGGGTGAATGGATAAGAATCGATACTGTGAGTGGTAGCGGGCCGCCGAAGAAGGCTGCCAAGACTCAATGGCAGTCCGAGGTAGTCCATGGTGGTCCAAGGTGACACTTAGATTAGCTTAGCCTAGTTTAGATTAGTCCCAATTAGATTAGCTAGTTAATGAATTTAGGTCTCAATTAGCTTAGATTCTAACTAATAAAATCCAATTAGACTTAGAATCATTTTTCCAATAAACGACTAGCTTAGTTTAGACTAATTTCACTTTAATAAAATGGTTAAATTTAAAATGGGCTGTGCTGTTTCCACTCCTACTATGGCTAAAACACTCACCATAATAGTGTTTTGACAATATTAGCCTTTGCGGGTACCACCTTTTTAAGCAGTTTGACGAAACTATTTTCCTTTTTCGTTTGGCTCATTATTTTCGTTTGTTTTCTTCTCTCTTTCTCATGGGTCCCATTTTCCTTCTTCGTATTTACTTCTCTTCGTTCCCTCCTAACTCGATCATGGTTTTAGCTTTGTTGGTATCTGATCTGAGACCACTTGATGGAATCGGCAACACTCTCTCATTCAACTAAAAAAGAACACAAAAACCCTTGAATTTCTCAATCAGCAAATCTCCAGAAAATCAGGCTCAAAATCACCTCCATGTCATCGGTTCCAAGAGCGTAAGCTTGAGTGCTTCCATTGGTATTCCGATCGACCTCGATCTCAAGCAGCTTTTGGACCTCGCCTCTCTCCTCGACCTCCCTCATCTTCATCGCTAAGAATGTGTGCCTCTTCTTATCGCCTCCGTCCTCTCCCTCTCCACCCTCAGCCTCTCTAGCTTCTTCCTCTTCACGAGCAACTCCTCTGCGAACGACGCATCTAGCTGCTCCACCTTCGCCAGAGGAGTCGCGGCGGCACAGGATGGCGTTTCTTCTTTTCCGACTCAAAGAGCATCGACAAGATCTCAATTCCAATCCTCTCAAGCTTTGGCTTTGGTTTCGGTTTTGGCTGGTTGTTGACGGGAAGAGTAGTCGGAGAGTTCCTCGGTTGGTGAGGCTTCCGACCAAAGCTTGTCATCCTAGCCGGTCGAAGGTTGGAGTGCTTGCATTTTCATCTCTTAATTATGACCATGAACAGCATGATTGCCAACATCATCATCGTTATCATCATTGTTAATGTTATTAACCTCTTTGGTCTTGTCGAAATTGTCTTCCTTCTCATCCTTTGAAACTAAGCTCTGACCATCGCCATTATTGTTGCCTTGAGAATCACCAAAAGAAGGGCTTTTGCTAGATAGGCATGGCGAGAAAAGTGTCTTATCGCCAATCATTATCACCACTGTCTTCTCTTCATACACCTTCACAGCCTTATTGTGCCCTTTTTTATTGCTCGTCTTTGCTTCACCCTGTTTTCTTCATCTCTTTGGGTGTTGCACGAATTGCTGGAGAGTTTCCAATAAGAATAGGCCAATATCAAGAGAGCAAAGCCTATGAGCCCCAACATCAATGCCAGGCCTTCAAACAAGTACAACACAGGAGAGTGCCACGGTGATCGTTGTGATGCCATTGTCGGTGTTGAAGCGATAAATGGAAAGGGGGAGCAAAGAGGGACATACGTGTGCAGAGAGAAGTAAACGAGAAGAAGGAAAGTGGGACCCGCGAGAAAAGAGAGAAGAAAACAAACATAACACCACGTACAAAAAAAAAGATGCCTTAAAAAAGTGAGACCCATAAAAGTTAATCCATAAAGGTTAATATTGTCACAATACTGTTATAGAGAGTGTTTTAGTCATAATGGAAGTGGAAAAAGCATGGCCCATTTAAAATCCCTTTAGATAGGTTCTAATCCTTAATCTCAAGCTTATGGGGGTTTAGGTCCCAAGGCTTAATAACAAATTCATGTCTATTCTTTGCCTGACTCGTTATCGGCTTTTGGTTGGAGATGTTTTAATAATCTTTGCCCGACTTGTATCAGGTTTTTCCTTTCCCACACTCGGATAGATGCTTTCAATTACTTGAGTGTTTCAATTCTGCACCACCATAATAATAGCTTGTTTGTTATATTCTTTTCTATAACGTTTATCCGTTGAAACAACTTGCGAGGTCACTCAAATGAATTCATTTAGCTCATTTGTTATCATTTAGCAAGTCATCTTCCAGGCATAGATTCTGAATTTATATATGGGCTCGATCGTTTTGGTCGAAGGAGCTGGTAGGGATTTACCATATTCGGAAATTCCAAAGAAGCCGTCCAAAGAATTCTGGTAACCATTGAGGTTGCGCGCAATTGCCAACCCAATCACGAGAGAAAGGAAACAAAAATGAACATCACTAATTACAAAAACAAAAGGGTGTAAAATAGAAAATTGATAGCTTTATTATTTGAATTGTTCAAGATAGCTTCTTCATGTAAATTTTCTATACCCTACAATAACCTCCTGGACCTCCGATGCTAATCATGTAGCCACTTCGATATTTTCTGACGTGGTGATGGTTCATCAAACCATAAACATTGGATCTATCCACCCACTCCGTGGTCTTATTTGAAGGAGGTAGGAATTTGCCGTCCGATCGAACCCAATGGAGTCTTCGAAAGACGGTGGCATGCTCGTAAACACCATCTGGCATGTGACCACTTCCCATTGGTGGACAGAATCCATCGCTTCCAGCTATGCCAATTCCTCCCCAAGCTGTGTGTAGTGAGCCATTGCGCAAATACGGGAATAGTTCCTTTGGCCAGTAGCCTACTTTGCGATCGCTCACAATCAACCACCAATTCCCAGTATTTCTATCCTGATTAGAAATAAATTTTGATAATAAGTGTAATAATGTAAAAAATGCAGAAATTATCAACACTAGTTTATTTCAATAAACGTTGTGATATCACACCACGATTGGTATTACTGACAATGATAATCACTTAACATGGATGCAATGATAGATTGTGATTGTATGCTTATATGGATAACTTTCAGTAGGGTAGAATGATAGCCAAAGTTGGCAACTTTGAGGACAAAACTATTAGGCTGCACATGACAATCATTCTGTGTCAGGGAATAGATTCTACTAAAAAATGATTCTTTTTTATTCCGTGCCCAGGAATAATTTCTAAGCATTTGAAGGCGTTTGGTAACTACCCAAAACTTCTATTTTTAGAATAGAAAAAGAACAGAAATGCATTTGGTAACTACATAAAATTTCTTTTTATTAATAATATTTTAATAATAATTTGAATTTTTTAATATTTCTTTCTCTTTTTTTCCTTTTTTTTTTTCTTTTTTTCGTTCCCTTCCTTAGCCATGGCAGGTCGCCGGCATAGGCCAGGACCGGCGAGGGCATCGCGGCCCTCGCCGCCGACTTTGCCGGTCGCAACGGCAAGGCCAACCTCGCCGTCGCCACCTAGGTCCCTCGCCTAGGTGGCGACGGTGAGGTCGACCTCGCCTTGGCTGGGCGAAGCTAAGCTGACCTTGCCATCGCTAGATCTGGGTAAGGTTGAGCCTCGCTTAGCCATGGCAAGGCCGACCTTGCCGTCGCCACCCAAGCGATGGTGAGGTCAACCTCGCCATGGCTGGACGAGGCCTCGCCATCGCGACCGCGAGCCGCGCTCACCCAACCGGCAAGGGCCACGATACCCTCGCCCAGGCAGCAAGGGCCGCGACGCCCTCACCAGCCCTAGCCTGTGGCCAATGGCGGCGGCCAACTGGAGGCAGGCGGCAGCAAGTGGCGGCAAGCCGGGAGGAAGAAGAACAACAAACCAAGAAAAAAGAAGAAAACCAAGAAGAATCAGAAATGGAAAAATTATTCCAGAATCAAGAAGCTACTTTTTTTTGCTTTTTGATTCTATTCCAAAACTGATTCTGGGAACAATTTTTGAAAAATTGTGCCCGGGCACAAAAAATTTAACAAACGGATTTCTATTCCCAAACTGATTCTGGGAACAAAAGAACAGAAATTTTTACTATTTGACAAGTTGTCAAACGGGCCCTTAGTCTCTAGAATATTTCAGCAAACATCATTATCTTAAGAACTTTGAAAATATCAAACATACCTGTTCAATATGGATTACAAGCTCATATTGAACTCCACCATAAGTAGAAGTTGGTTCTGCTAGATAACCAGGGGTAATTTCCCTATGCACCTGGATAAAACCCGGACATAGTACATTGTAGCATCCATTGCGGTAGCCATCACCTTATGAGGACAATGCTTTGGCAAATAAGACTCAAATTATCTCCAACATCTTGTTTGGATACCAGAAAAACGGTGAAAAAATGGTTCAATTAAAAATTGACAATTTTCTTCACAGCTCACCTGTCCAATATGTGAACAACCTAGTACGAGCATCGCCAAATAACTGTGGAGAAACCTTGGAAAACAAGAGATGTTTCTCTCATATCATTTTACAATTTATTGAACTTCTTGTGTAAAAAATACTATGACAATGACTTTCGTAAGAAATCACTTACCATCCAACCAGCTACAATCATGCTGATATGCTCTGGGGGACCAGTTTCAATCCACACATTATGGGCACTGAGTTGGTCATGAGCAACATTAAGTTTGTAAACCGTCGTACCTCCACCTCCTCCATATTTAATATTTTCTATCATGTTGTCCGTTAGAGAAACCACCTGCAAATGATAATTTATAACTTAGACTACTAAAAAGTAAAAGAAAACTAAATAATCTCTTATTCACCTATGCCTACCGGTCATACTTTAAAAGATGTATTGATTTTCTTTTTGCACATAAATGATGGAAAGAACATATTTTGAGATTTTCATAAGTGAATATTTCACATGTGGTCTCATGAAATTCATATGCACATGACCTCATTAATAGATTTGAAAAAAAAAATCATTGATGATATTTTATGTGTGTAAATATGCAAGTGAGCATGAGAGAGAGGGATAGTACATGTTGATTTGAAGAAACAACACTTTGTCTCATAGCCACGACGGATGGTATCTTGGGCAAGGATCTTGCCCTCATCAAATCTTCTCTTGTTACTCGACGAATGGGTATTGTTCCAATGGGGCAAGATTCTCTCAACCCAAATCTTATCGATTTTGCATTCGAAGAAGTTCTGCGCGAGCTAGTGACATTTATATTCGGCTCTATCTACAAGGAGAAAAAACTGATTATAGAAGTATCAAGTAGACCATTTCACCCAAATTATCCGATATTGGTCCACATATTTATCGGTTGATTTAGGAGAAAATGGCAAATTTTTACCTGAACTTTATGATTCTTCAGTAGAGGATGATTGAGTGCCGGTTGTTTGTTTATATCAACACAGTCAATTGTGTCTCCTTCTTTAGTCTTGATAAAATCAAACACAGTTAGTCATTCGTCGAGCAGCAATCATATTTCAAAGATTAACAGGATAAATTGCAATGTCTCCATGAAATTTCTATGAGACTATCACAAAAAAGGCTTTGAAGGAAAATTACCGAAAAGGTCTTGATGGATGGCTTTTTCATTGTTCTGACCTGTCTTTCCAAGTCTAACTCATCCTCTCCAGAAACATATGCTATCTCACACAGAGAAAGACTGAAGAATAGGAGCAGCAACGGCACAAGTTCCACATTCAGTTTCATGGTGACAAAAAGAAGCGTAAAGTGGCCCTCTAACGGATAGCTGCACTTGTTTATATATTGCGAAAATTTCACCCTTTTTTGTCGATAATATACCACTAAGTGTGTTATCAAAAGTTTGAGCAATGCAATTAGATTCGAAAGATGGTAAAAGATAATTGATTTTGATTCCAAACATGGTAAAAGATAAATGTAGGAGAGACTGAAAATTGTCTTTGAACAATGCTATCCTAAAAAAAATGCATGTTTGCCACTTGTCTCATTCTTTCATGGTCATATCATGCATAATTATTGCCATAGCCTACGTTATTCTTGACGACCAAATGTACATATAAACTTCAAAAAGACAAATTTATTCATTACAGAGAAGGCAGTTCAAGTATGACTAGAAATTAGAGCCTCGGGATGCTAAAGCTTTTCCGTAAAACAATGCATGGTTGCCATTTTACAAAGAGTACATGTTAGCCATTTGTCTGTAAACATCTTCCACTTTCACCACATGCATAACCAGTTTTGAGGCCAATCTGTTGTCTAAGACTAAAGTGTTATGTAATATATGGTACGAATTCAAAATGCATATGAAATTAAAAGGAAAAAATAGAGAAACTAAAATTGAAAGAAGAAAGCAAAGAAAAGTTATATATGACACAAGGCACTTCAAGGTAGGGATGGATCCAAAAGAAACTTCTTGGAGCAACTGGGTTGGCCGACGATATATACTGAAAATCTTCTCTTTAATCCAAATGATTGCAAATTTCAAGTATTTATAGAAATTTTTTTTACAGATTTGATCTATTTCGAAAAGTGAATTGAAATTCCTTTGAAATAACAAATTATTTAACTTAAAAAGACAAATAAAAATATTAGAGTAAGTTTGGAAAGTGTTGAAAATTTAAGGAATCATGTATTTTGGAGATTCAGTTGTCGTTTGAATTACAATTTTGTCCCTTTTGTTAATGTTATGCCATTATAATGTCACCATACGCTTTTGATGGAACTACTTGAGAAAAGTTCTTTGAGTTTGTTTTATTACATATTGGCAAATGGGCACATACATAGCGTGTGTTCAAGAAACTAACATTTGAAAGATGGGAAAAGACAAATGTTTTCACTCCAAACTGGGCAAAAGATTTGAGAGACTGAAAAATTGTCTTTGAATAATGCATGCTTGCCACTATCCTCAAAAAAATGCATGATTGCCACTTGTCTCATTCTTGCATGGTGATATCATGCATAATTATTGCCAAAGCCAACGCTTTTCTCGACGAATGAATATACAAATAAACTTCAAATCTTCAAATTTATTCATTAAAGAGAAATGCAGTTGAGGTATTACCGGAAATTAGAGCATCGAGATGCTAAAGCTTTTCCATAAAATAATGCATTTTCGTCATTTTAAAACGAGTACATTCTAGCCATTTGTTTGCAAACTCCTTCCACTTTCACCCATGCATAATTAGTTTGACGTCTATCTATTGTCCAAGACTAAAGTGTTACGTAATAAATGTTACAAATTTAAAATACAAATGAAATTAGACAAAAAAAAATAGAGAAACTGAAATTGAAAGACGATAGTAGAAGAAAAGTCATATGTGATTATTGACAAATGACTTTGGCTGACAAGTCATTAACGGTAAAAACTCAAGATTAGGGTTTTTAATCGTGACATGACCTGTTTCTTAGTAAAAAGAGTTTTTTTAGTGTTTTTTGAATTTATTTCAGATTGCATTGCTTTCTAGGTAAACCAAGACATTGATTTTACGAATAATGCAAAGAAGTCTTTAGAGTTGGCTTTTGGTCAACCACTGAAGTAAACCATCAATCAACATTTTTCAAAAAATTTGAAAATATCTAAAATCATCAAATCACTTCCTTTTATTATTAATTGAACTTCTAATTCGTTAATTTGACAAAAATCAATCAAGAATCGACTTTACAGCCAAATCGAGAATTTTGACTTTTTGATCGACAAAATTCAAAATTCATTGGTTTCAAGTCATTTTTTACGATTTGTTTCTTCACGACATTTGATCCTGGGGTCAAAATGCATTTTATTTTTAAGCCAACTTTTTAAAAAATCAAGCTTAAGACGGGCCGGCCAATTTTTGAGTGCTAATCAAGGGTCTCGATAAGTTCTTTATGAGTAATGTCAATTACCCAATTTGAATCCGATTAAGTCCAATTAACTCAATTCTAATGTCAATTTTGACAAAATCACAGCAATCTAGCGTAATTTAACCAAAATAGTGGACAACGATCTATGAATTCAGGCTTTCGACCAAAAAAAGAAAGATCTGTAAATTCAGGATGAGTCGACCGATTTATCCAATTTAGTTTGACCCATGCTGGGTTGGAGCCCAATTTGATCAATTGAACATCAATTGTGCATGATAGCCTAATCCATAAAACAATTTGAGGGGAACTTTGGTAATTGGAATACCACGAGTTGATTCGATCGAATTGTGCCAACATGGTTTGGACCGAGCCGACCTGATTGGATCGAATTGAACCCAGCCCATTGGACCAACTCTTGGTCGAGCCCACATAGTGAAAATAACATTTCCAATTAGAAAAATCAAGGCGAAATTGAGCAATTGGAGAACCACGAGCCAACCCGAGTGAGATCGACCCTCTACATCGAACTACCCAGCCATGCGACCAGCCTAACCAGCCAACCCTCTCTCTGCTCACACTGAAGAAATTACAAAAATGCCATTTAGAAATATTGCCAAAATGCCCTTGCCATGTCACCTATCCTTTGAAGCTCAAATCTCAGCCGTTTATTGATCAATTTATCTTAGCCATCCATTATGACACATCATCAATCCATGTGAATAATTTGCAGCCAATAGGGAGCTTGATTAATCATTAAGGGTTTCTCTCTCTTGCAGGGAAATGTCTCCCTCACCGGCCGGTTTCCTACAAGTTTCGACGAGCCGCCGGTCTTCCTCCGCTAGTCTAGCTGCGCGAACGATTTCCCCAGCAAGTCCTTGGTATGCTCATGGTCAGCACTACTCCGGATCCTCACCGAAATCCCCTCCATTGGCCTATCATTTTCATTTTCTCGTCAGCATCCATTCTATCAAAGTAGGATCCTTTTTATTGATTGATTATTCTTTGTGATCATCCGAGAATGTGGTCATTGAATGATGGTTTAAAAATCGAAGTTTGACCTCGACCTATAATCAATGTGAGATGTGATAAAAAAAATTTGAAATCGAATTGAAATTTAGCTTTAGAACTAGTACAATCTAGTGAAATCAAAGTGAAATTTCATTTGAACGAGGTTTTAGGACTTGATTCTTATCTTAGCTGAACATGTATAGGCATTCTTTCATGTTATTTTTGTCAATTACATATCGTTTTAACTAGAGTTTGCACGTTTAGAATGCTCATTCCTAGAATTGGATCAAGTGCTAGTTAATTCTTTGTTTTGCATGTTGATGTTCTACTTGCATGTACCCGGCCGAAACATCTAGTGTAATAATCAAGCATGTTTCAATGTTGATTACTCCTAGGTTGATAATTTGTTGAATACATGTTAATTTGATATAGTTTTATGTTAATCCGATAATGTTTGTGCATGTTTAGACGAATGTTTTAGGTAGGGATGTGCAAAGGAACCAGGAACCGCCCAGACCGCCTGGAACCGGACCGGACCGATCTAGAACTGGTGATTCCTAAGGGAACTTGTCTGGTTCCCAGTTCCAAGTGCGAAACCGCCCACCCATCCACTTAGACCGGACTGGTGATATATTTTTTAAAATGAAAAATTCTAAATCCCTAATGTGAAACTCGCTAATCTTATCTGACAATATAAAGACCTTTTGTCTTGTAATGACTCTGGCTCGATGAGGCAAGGGCTCTACAACTGTTGACTAATGGCCGTTCAATGCATATAGGCTACTGACTGGTTTTTATATTGGATCACTGTCTGTTTTTGTCCATTCATAACAAGTTTGGTGAGTGTGCTCTCTTACTTGCACACTTCCTAACATTCATTTTGTCGATTCATTGGCTTTGGCTGAAAGTGTAGTAGATGAGGTGTCATTTTAATTAATCCAGAATCATTTATTTCCGTTGTGTAATCCTTTGTTGCATATTACAGTGCCGACGCGTGAAACTTGGTGGGACTAGTTCCATGGACCCACCCGCGAATCGGACCGGACTGGCGGTCCGGTCCCCGAGTGGTTCCCAGTTCCGATTTTTCAAAACTAGTCCTTAGCGGGCGGTTCCCGGTTCTAGGGTAGGAGCTGCCCACCCGAACCATGCCACCCCTAATTCTAGGTGATTGATAATGAACAAGAATGAATGTTAATGTTGACGAATATGGCTTGAATGTGTTCATCAATGCTGGAAATATGCATGAGAATGTATGGGAGTGCATGTGTGCAAGTTTGATAATGCAGTTTTTTTTTTGGTCGAATGATGATGCAATTAGATAGCTGGAATTTTGAAGTCATTCTGACCTCTCGGTGTTCTCCAATTTTTAATAATTTTTGGGGTCAAAATTTGAAAAGACTTGGGAAACATCGCTAGAAATTGAGATCAAGAGCTTTGCAACGGTATGAATTTTGTAAAAATTGGACCTCGTTTGATCCAAAAAAGTTAATCTGCAAAGTAGCGAAGGCGTTTTGCGTTAAATCTAGAAAACAATTTTCAAATTCCTCATAACTTCTATTGCAAAAAAAAAAATAGTTAGAGGTCTTTTGTGCAAAACTTCAAAAAAAAAAAAAAGGTTGTTCCTTAGGGTCAAAAATGTAAACCTGAAAAGTTTGAGGTCATTCTAGCAAAGTTTAGGGGGTCAAAAGTGCAATAAACCAAACAAAGTATGACTGGCCCATAAAACTGTTTGCAGTTGAGTCCGAAGGAAAAATTGGCTAATTTGACATAATTGAAGGGCTTATTTGCAAAAACTCAAAGCATGAAAGTTGTATAGAACACATAGAGATAACTATCTATCAAATTTGGTGGTATTTTGAATTTATTTTATATTTTTCCCGTATATTTAAATTCTGCATCGGATCAGGGTCCAGGTCTCGAGCAGTTGGGTTTGTTGGTTAATTCTATACCAATTGAGCCCGAAATGGTCTAAATAAGAAATGAACTAGACATCCTAAGTTTTCCATAGCCCCTTGAATCACTTCATTTAGACACCATTTAGTGGCTCAATTGATTAAAACATAAGTGATTAGAATTGGTCCAAAAGTTGAACAAGTGATCCTTATGGCCACTAATTGATTGATTGCTTCCCATGGCTAATTGGCCTGATTGCATGTCTAATCAAGTCTTGCATGTGATTGTTAGATATATGGTAGGCTCTATTGCATGATTCGATAGGTAGATTAGAATTGGGAGATTAGAATTTTAATTAGGCGCTTGATGACTTAGCCACCATGTGATGAGTTTCACTGGGGTTATTGTTCATGTAGTGATAATTAATTAACCCTTAACTTGACTAGAGGTGGTTGGGATTAATTGAATGCATGGGCGATCTAATTCCTGAGCTCAACTTCGAATTACCTAATTATTTGTCAATTAGTGAGCTTCACTAATTGCTTGCTTTGCTTGAGTGTATGTTGCGAATGGGTGAATGGATAAGAATCGATACTGTGAGTGGTAGCGGGCCGTCGAAGAAGGCTGCCAAGACTCAATGGCAGTCCGAGGTAGTCCATGGTGGTCCAAGGTGACACTTAGATTAGCTTAGCCTAGTTTAGATTAGTCCCAATTAGATTAGCTAGTTAATGAATTTAGGTCTCAATTAGCTTAGATTCTAACTAATAAAATCCAATTTGACATAATTGAAGGGCTTATTCAGTCTCTCCTACATTTATCTTTTACCATGTTTGGAATCAAAATCAATTATCTTTTACCATCTTTCGAATCTAATTGCATTGCTCAAACTTTTGATAACACACTTAGTGGTATATTATCGACAAAAAAGGGTGAAATTTTCGCAATATATAAACAAGTGCAGCTATCCGTTAGAGAGCCACTTTACGCTTCTTTTTGTCACCATGAAACTGAATGTGGAACTTGTGCCGTTGCTGCTCCTATTCTTCAGTCTTTCTCTGTGTGAGATAGCATATGTTTCTGGAGAGGATGAGTTAGACTTGGAAAGACAGGTCAGAACAATGAAAAAGCCATCCATCAAGACCTTTTCGGTAATTTTCCTTCAAAGCCTTTTTTGTGATAGTCTCATATAAATTTCATGGAGATATTGCAATTTATCCTGTTAATCTTTGAAATACGATTTCTGCTTGATGAATGACTAACTGTGTTTGATTTTATCGAGACTAAAGAAGGAGACACAATTGACTGTGTTGATATAAACAAACAACCGGCACTCAATCATCCTCTACTGAAGAATCATAAAGTTCAGGTAAAAATTTGCCTTTTTCTCCTAAATCAACCGATAAATATGTGGACCAATATCGGATAATTTGGGTGAAATGGTCTACTTGATACTTCTATAATCAGTTTTTTCTCCTTGTAGATAGAGCCGAATATAAATGTCACTAGCTTGCGCAGAACTTCTTCGAATGCAAAATCGATAAGATTTGGGTTGAGAGAATCTTGCCCCATTGGAACAATACCCATTCGTCGAGTAACAAGAGAAGATTTGATGAGGGCAAGATCCTTGCCCAAGATACCATCCGTCGTGGCTATGAGACAAAGTGTTGTTTCTTCAAATCAACATGTACTATCCCTCTCTCTCATGCTCACTTGCATATTTACACACATAAAATATCATCAATGATTTTTTTTTCAAATCTATTAATGAGGTCATGTGCATATGAATTTCATGAGACCACATGTGAAATATTCACTTATGAAAATCTCAAAATATGTTCTTTCCATCATTTATGTGCAAAAAGAAAATCAATACATCTTTTAAAGTATGACCGGTAGGCATGGGTGAATAAGAGATTGTTTAGTTTTCTTTCACTTTTTAGTAGTCTAAGTTATAAATTATCATTTGCAGGTGGTTTCTCTAACGGACAACATGATAGAAAATATTAAATATGGAGGAGGTGGGGGTACGACGGTTTACAAACTTAATGTTGCTCATGACCAACTCAGTGCCCATAATGTGTGGATTGAAACTGGTCCCCCAGAGCATATCAGCATGATTGTTGCTGGTTGGATGGTAAGTGATTTCTTAAGAAAGTCAATGTCATAGTTTTTTTTACACAAGAAGTTCAATAAATTGTAAAATGATATGAAAGAAAAATCTCTTGTTTTCCAAGGTTTCTCCACAGTTATTTGGCGATGCTCGTACTAGGATGTTCACATATTGGACAGGTGAGCTGTGAAGAAAATTGTCAATTCTTGATAGAACCATTTTTTCACCGATTTCCGGGTATCCAAACAAGAAGTTGGAGATAATTTGAGTCTTATTCGCCAAAGCATGGTCCTCATAAGGTGATGGCTACCGCAATGGATGCTACAATGTACCATGTCCGGATTTTATCCAGGTGCACAGGGAAATTAGCCCTGGTTATCCAGCATAACCTACTTCTACTTATGGTGGAGCTCAATATGAGCTTGCAATCCATATTGAACAGGTATTTTGATCTTTTCAAAGTTCTTAAGATAATGATGTTTGCTGAAATATTTTAGAGACTAAGGGCCCGTTTGACAACTTGCCAAATAGTGAAAATTTATGTTCTTTTGTTCCCAAAATTAGTTTGGGAACAGAAATCCGTTTGTTAAATTTTCTGTGCCAGGGCACAATATTGCAAAAAATTGTTCCCAGAATTAGTTTTGGAATAGAATCAAGAAGCAAAAAAAAGTAGCTTCTTGATTCTGGAACAATTTTTCCATTTCTGATTTTTCTTGGTTTTCTTTTTTTTTTCTTGGTTTGTTGTTCTTCTTCCTCCCGGCCTGCCGCCACTTGCTGCCGCCTGCCTCCAGTTGGCCGCCGCCACTGGCCAGATGCTAGGGTCGGTGAGGGCGTCGCGACCCTTGTCGCCTGGGCGAGGGTGTCGTGGCCCTCGCCGGTTGGGTGAATGTGGCTCGCTGTCGCGACGGCGAGTCCTC